AGGATGGCACAAGGACACATCTGTCCAGCAGCTGGGCAGGTGAGTCCCATAGGCTTTTCCCAAACACCTAACTGGGCCTAGGCAGGGCTGCCACCTGGGGCTAGGGTTCTCTCTCTGGGATCTGTAGTGGATAGAGCGATTGGGTTGACCTAGTAGCAAGTGTTCCTGGGCTCTATTGCTCCTTGTAGCAGCTGTGTGCATGCATGGCAAGGGGGAGGGGAGTTTCTGCCTGGCTTCAGCAGCTATAAGGGGTGAAGGTCAAGAACCTCTCACCCTGTCTGGGGGTGCAGGTCCTTGGGACTCCGGTACCTCAATGCTTTAGCCTTGTCATTCCATCCCCTTCCCAAGAGAAAGGGACGCTGTTTCCCCTGTTATACACATCAAGAAACTGAGACTGAGACATGTTGGAAGCCTAAAGAGACAGAGGGCTCCAATCCTGCAAGAACCCATGGTCTCTGCAGCAAGACTCTCTACCTCTCTCCTGCCTAAGGGCCCCTCCATTCACACTCCCAGACCGTTAGAGGTTTGCACCTGCCTCTCGGCCCCATCAGCAGAAGTAGACGGGCGGCCCCATCAGGTGAGGGACACTGGCCCAGGCTGTCCCACGAGCAGGAAGGGACAGGTATTGGGCACCCCGGAGGAGAGGGAGAGGAAGCAGACTTTTCCCAAGTGTGCCTCTCTCTTTGGGCTGAGGGCTGCAGGGTGAGCGCGCAGCTACCCTTCCTGGGGCCCAGGCTCCAGGAGCTCCTCCAGTCAAGTAGCAAGCACGTACGCCAGTGCCCACTGGCCCAGCCAGGGCTGCATGCGGGCCCGGGAACACCAGGCCAAGTCTGGGTCTGTGAAGGACAGATGGCTTGATGCAGGGACTTCAAGCAGGGTTCTGGTTCATGACGGGAAATCTAGCACCTGGCTCCTAGCCAGTGACAGGGTAGAAGAAACTGAGGCCCCCTCTGCCCCACATACCCACTGCCACGTGGAAGTCCTCATGCCCTTCTCAGAAATGGGGGCGGGATAGCCCCCACATACACTGTGTCACGTGGCTCACCCATCCTGGGTGGTGGTCAGAGTTGGCAAGGAGGCCAATGTTCCCCCCAAACTGTTCCCTGGGACTTGACCCCACATGGTCAAGTCATATCCAACAGTCCTTGGAACCAGGGACCTCTGAGCAGCCTAAATAAGAGAACAAGCTGGGGGCAGATACACTTGGGTTGAAATTCTGGCTCCGCCGCTCAGTGACTACAAGACCTTGAGCTAGTTCCTTAACCACTCCGAGCCTGTTTCCTCGCCTGTGAAGTGAGAATATAATAGTATAGTGCTTCTGTGCTGGGGCTGTTGTGAAGACTTGAGTGAGACAGGTGTAAATCTTCACTACCTGGCAGGCATTGCTATTTCTATTACTAGAAGAGGGCAGAGTCACCCAGAGGAAGGAGCCCTGGAAGGAGTAAGTGAGCCTGTCAGTAGTTTTCTTGATCCCCAGGAAGCTTCTCGAGTCACGGAGCAGAAAGATACAGGGAAAGGATAATGTGTTTTTGTTTCTAAACCACAAGCAGATCTGTATCTTTCTTCTTTGGCCTTAACCTGGGCTCTCAGCCTTGGCTGTGGGTGCTCAGATGTTCCAACAGGCCCCAAGAGCCAAAGGCTAAGAGAGAGCTTGCTGGGCAGCAGCCACCCTGCTCCCTGGGGCTGCCCCGCTGCCCTCTCACAGTTCTGCTGGCCAGTGCCCCGGAGCTGGAGAGGCTCCAACCGCATTGCCCATGGTGAAATTTCAGTTGTCAGTGTCCCTGTACAGAGCTCCTGTCTGCTCCGTAGAATGGCAGTGCACGGACAAGCAGGAAGCCTAGGCCAGCCACCAGGGCTCTTCAAATAAGGCTGTGCCTGGTCCATTTCCCCATGCTCAGCACTGCAACCTGGGAACAGGGCCAGAGGGAGGCACATGGCTGCTGGAGGAGACACTGTCCCCCAGACTATTCCTGCCACTGCCTGGGCAAGGCTGAGTCGGGCGTGGATCAGAGGAGGATGGGCGTGCGGGGGGTGGGGGAGTTAATCACTCAGGACACATTCTGCACATCCCAGTTGTCCCATTTTGCAAAGGGTCATCCAACCCAGTGCAGCAGATCCACCTGTAGATGGGACTGGAAGTGCAGAAAGTTGAGGTTGGGATAGGCCCAAGAGGTCCCCTAGTCTTGTCTAGTATCCAGGATGGGAACTTTTTCTCTAGCATATCTACTGATAGTTATCTGGGTTCTTGAATACCTCCAGAGATGGGGGATTCATTACCTTTCAGGTCAGTTATATTGGGGAGTCTCTGCCTCTCTTGAGGCCCCAAACCCCATCTCTGCTCCCAAAGGACCCCAGGGTTTCCTAGACTCACTCCTACAGGGTGAGGATGGGACTTGACTAGTAGCCTTTCTGGGACACCCAAGCCTGGATTCAAACCAAATTAAATACCAGTTCAACTGTGATAATATTCTAATGATCAGTCATGCTTTATCATAGTTCAACAGTTCAAAAGCACTGCTTGGAGCTCTGGTTTTGGTATATAAGTTATTTGTATTAAAAGAAAATAATTCATGTGTGCATTTGTTGAGTCAGTAAAAATAATTTAGGGTGTTGATTCTAGGTTCAACAACGTCATGCCATTCATTCTAGCCTAGTTCCTGGTTCATCTCAAATCCTCAACAACCAGTTTCCCAAACGCTCCCACCCAACACAACCTGCTTCCAGTAGCTAGCATTCAGCCAGTGTTCCCACATGGCTAGGTACCTACTCTGTGGGGAAAGCTGCCCCCTCCCCAACACATGGCCCCCCTCAGCCTAGGCTCAGCAGGCAGCTTCCTGAGGGGCCACAGGAGGTCAGGGGTTGGGTCACGGGGTCAGGCCTCAGTGTTGCCCTGTCAGAGGAAAGAGAAGGAATCTTCTTGGGAAAGACACAAAGAGGAGGAGGGGAGGAGAGGAGCAGAGACTAAACGTAAGTATGAGTGCATACTTCATGGGCAGGCAGGGGTCCTGTAGTTAGCTGCCCAGCTTCCACACACTAACCCAGGGCTCACCAGGGACAGCATCTCCACCACATACCTTCCGTAGGCGGGGGGGGCGGGGGGGCTGCTGTGGTGTAGCCAGACAGGCTGCAGGTGTTCTGGGCTGGCGAATTCCCGCTAGCCACCTTAGCTGGTTTGGCAGGTCCCTATAGTAAATCATGCATAAGCAATAGAGTCCATATGCAAATGCTTTATCTAGAAATTGCATTGATAGATCTAAAAAATCAGTGAATAAAGATGAGACATGGCAATAGTGAACTCAATAAGGAAAGACTGAGGCACCCAACAATGACAAAAATCCCAGCATTGTCCTCAGTCCCCTCTGTGACATTGGCAGCCATCCAGCCACTGCTTGGGGCAGCCACTCGAGGTCTAGATATACTGAATTTCCAAGCCAGAATCCCCCTAGCACTCCGTAGGACACCGCCCTCTCTGGGGGCCCAAACCCAGGACAGCAAGGGTCTGCTCACTTCCTTGTTTAGGGAAGAGACAGAGGGGTGGCCCTGCCTCTCCCCCACAACATAGCTACCCTCTAATTCAAAAGAAGCAGGGTAAAGGGCAGCCAGGAGGGAGCCACCACTCTGAATGGCCATCCTGCTCCTAGGCCAGGGCACTGCTGGGGACAACCAGGAGATGCCAGCTCTGGAACCAGGCCCATTCCCTGGGAGTTCAGGGCGCCCGGAAGGTCTCCTTCTGGGGGGGTATCTTGAGGCCGGGTGTGACAAGGGAATTGGAATCTCTTTAAATCTTGGCTTTCCTGCCAGCGTATGGGAACTACCTCAAAACAGTCTTAGGGCCTTGTCCAGATGGGACAGACAGGCCAAGATGCCAGGTTTGGGGACTGCGGCTGAGACTCCGCAGTATGTGGGTGGGTGCACTCGCCCCGCTGCACCTCTGGTATCCGAGAGGAGTCGACCCGCGGCCTCCAGATGTGCATCTGCAATGCAAATTAGTTAATTACACCGCGAGGCGCTCAGCGGATAATCCAGGTCAGGCCCCTGCGCGGCCGTCCAGGGGCCAGGGGGCCACCGGCAGGTCGCAGTGGGCCCAACCCGGATCAGGGCCCCAAAGCGAAGGGCCGACCGGGGCTGGAGCCGAGTGATTAGAAGGAAAGGGTTGAGCAGGAGGGGGGCGCCCCTCGGGCGAAGAGGCTCCTGGCCGCGGCGCCTGCACTCCTCGGCGACTTTTCCCGGGCTTTGTGTTCGCCCTGTCCTACCTGAGGCCACACCCTGAAATCAAACTCGCGGCCAGGTGAAGCCTGCGCTGCACAAACAAGTATGCGCGCCCTCTCTTCGCCGTTCCCGGCGCCAAGGTCCCTCCCGCCGAGGGCGGGCCCGGCTCCCGCGGCCTCCCGAGCTCTCCAGGGACTTCCCGCTGGGCAGGTGGGTGCCCCGGCCACCCCGGGAGGCCGGCGACCCCTCCCCGGGCGGGGGCCAGGACGCGGGGCCAGGTCTCCCGCCCGCGCGGCCCCCTTTCCCCGGGTTTTCCGTCCCCAAAGTTCGGGGCTGGCCGGCGCCCCGTGCACCCAGGAGCGGCCGTGGGGAGGGCGCGGGGCGGAGGGGCCCCCGAGCGCCGCCGGGACCGACAGCCGGCGCAGCCGGGAGCGGACCGACCTCCGCGTGTGCGCCGGCGCTTCTGGCCCCGCGGCTGGGACTGCTGAGGCGCGGGGCCTGCGAATTCGCGTCCCAGGGGGCGCCCCACTCGGGCCTGCGAGGTGGGGCCGGTGGCCGCGCTGAGTGGGACGGCCGGGGGGACAGGGGCCCGAAGCGGAGCTGCGCCCACCGCCCCTCCTCCCCGTGCGCCGTGCGGGGAGCCAGCCACCTCCCCATGTACCTGAGATGATGGCTCTGTCGGGAGGCAGGCCTGGGGCGGCTCCAAATGCTCTGGATTCCGGCCAGTCGCAAAATCCACAGAGACACATGCTACATTTGTCACAACGACTTTCTGATCTGTTTCCACCCAGGCCTCCGAGGACTGGCCGGGGAAGGTCCCCAGTCTTCCCTCTCCTCGTTGCCTGAGAGCGCTGCCCACGGAAGGGTGAGGAGTCCGGAGGAAGAGGAGGCGAGGAAGGCGGCCAGGAAGTGAGTGAGGAACCTTCAGCCCGGTAAGGTATTCAGGAGCCTTCTCAAGACCTCCTTGAGGGACAAGCTGGAAGGGACAGTGGGCAGGCAGGTGGCCCTCCTGGGATGTTCTTGGTACTGTTAGGCAGGGGCAGTGGTCCCTTCTAGGTGCCATTTCTCCAAACTTAGTGGGTGTGCCTTGTAACTTCCACCAGCCCAGCCCCAGGCAGATGCCCTGCCTGCCCCTGGCCCAGCCTCTGCTGTCATGTGTGATGCCTGTCTGGGGCGAGACAGGGTCACCAAGGTTGGTGCACTGAATTCTTGCTTGGGAAAGAAGCTCCCAAACAGGAAGGGCAGTAGCCGGCGCATCCCAGCCTGATAGCTCATTCCCCAGATCTCCAACCTGCTAAAATGGATCCAGCTGTTCCCACACCCGTGGATGATGAGTGGCATCCCATCTGGAATATAGATGCTGCTAGGAACACCAAGGGCTAAGACATGAAGAGCTCCCGGGGTGTGGGCTGAGTTTTCTGTATCTTGTCCTATTCTGGTGTGTTTTAGGCTCCCCTGACTTGTTTTTCTAGGTCGGAAAAAGAGGAGGGTCAAGTCTATGTCTGTGCTGGGGCCTTTTGGAACTGTTGCAGCATGCACTGTAATACTGCGAGTTCTCCTCGGGCCATGCATAGGACAGTAGCTGAGAACACATTTGGAATCAGAAAGAGCTGGGTTCAAATTCTGACTTTGCCTTCTATTCCTTAAGGAAGTTGTTTTACTTCTCTTCAAACTCGAATGTCTTCACCTATAAAACGGGGCAATCAAGCCTGCCTCAGAGGATAGTTGTGAGAAGTCCTGGTGATAAATAATAAATGTCGAACAGCCCCTGTCGTGAGCCTCCTCCCCAAGCCTCTAATTATTACTTAGGAAAGGTTAAACTACCCAAGCCCTGAGTTCTCCTGGAGAATTTGAGAATGGTCTGGCTCTGTGGTAGGAGACTGTGGAGGGGTTAGAGCAAGCCATGGGAATAAAGGCAGAGGGTCTGTGGAGTGCAGGTAGTGAGGTGGCCCGGGGGAGGGGCTATTTCTGGAAGAGGGTCCAGCTTTGGAGGCAGAGACAGCAGCATGTTCTGTATGTGTCACATGAACTCACATGTCCATGGGAGACCCTGGACACACTGTGGCCACAGGGCTGCCTCGGGCAGAAGGAGCCTCTGGCTTGAGGCTTCTAGTCCTAGCTCGGTCCTCAGCAGCTGTGTGATCCGGGGGGGCAGGTCGTTTGACTTCTCTGGGCGCCAGGCATTTTAGAGAAGCTTAGAGACACTGGGTTTGAATACCAGCTCCACACTTACCATCTCAGACAGTCTTTCTCTCTGAGCCTCAGTTTCTTCACCTATAAAGCAGAGCTCATAATACCTAGCTTGTAGGGTTGTGGCTATTAAATGCACTCAAAAGAAGCACCTAGCACAGCGTCTGACACATGCTACACACTTTATACCCATATGTGTGTGTATTCCCTTTCTGGTCCCTTCTGTCCTCTCCCCAGCCACCTGTCATCTTTAAGATGTGCCCAGTAAAGCAGCTTCGACCCATCTCGCAGTATTGTAAGCATAAAGCGAAGAGGGGAACAACACAGAGACACAGAAAATTAAGAGCTGTTAAACATAATCTTTTTTTCTTTTTAAGATTTATTTATTTATTTATTTATTTGA